AAGCAAAGTTTCTAACCTGACCTGTTTTCACCAGGACTTTAGCACACTAACAAGCTCAACTTCGAGAAAACTAAAAAATAAGGATTATTGAAAGAAACATTTGTTAATTTATCAAAGGGAGCACAAATTCACTGGCACCGCTTGATTTGCCTCTCTGCTCCCWTTACTTTCCCCCTCAAGCTGGTAAATGAAGCCTACCTAAGAGCCTACACACACACAGCTGGAAAGGCAGGACAGTSGATTTCCCAAAGGAATACAATTTACTGCAGTAGCTGCAGTCACATCTGGTATTTCAAAGCCATTCCAGTGTCACCAGGCCCTTACACTCCCATTGGCTCCAGTGCTAATTACATTGCACAGTTACAGCCCTGAACCCCACGAGTTGGATGAAGATCATATGGCTGCAGAGTCCAGGGAACARACACCAGATAGTTCCAGGGTCTGGTGATGAGCTCAGGACCTTCTGACCTCTTGGTTACCTGGGTCGGGCACTTCAAAGAGGAATTAGAGCAGAGGACTCAGGGTGACACAAATCCCAGCTTGTTTGCTTGACATCCTCCCAGGCCATAGCAAACCAGGGAGCTCAGGCAATGAGMAGACTATTAGGTGATGGAGGGAATGACTCAGAGAGTAAGAGCCTGTCACTAAATGGAGAAAGAACCACATTTGGCCAATATGTATAGTTTTATATCCCACACCCACTTAAGAGTCACGAGAGGTTCAGAATTTGAGGCTGAAACAAGGTTCGAGTCATCTTTCTCTAGTGAGGAGAGAATTAATAAAAATCCATTAGGAAAACTCCAKATCCAGACTCTGAAAGCATTCTGAAAGACTGCGTAAGTAGGGATACTGAGTTTAATATTAAGAACATGCCTCTATCACATAAGGAGACCCACACTTTCTTAAAAAGCTAAAACCTCACCTAAGAGACTGGAGGTTGCTGCATCACAGTGCAATTGTGCTGGGGAGGGATAATTCCAGCCCAGCTGCAGGGCCAGGCACAACACAGGCAGTAATTTTGGAAAGAACACATCTACCTGCAAATGGTACTGCCAGATATCTTGATCTCGAGAGAACAGACATTCAGGTGACTTGTTAGGGAACTGGTAGCCTCAATAAATAATTAGCAATGGATTTCAAGCATCAACTAACCATCTGAAAGCATCAACACTCCAAGTTTCTTAGGGAAGCAAGACAAGCTGMAGGAGAGGAAAGCTGATGTCAGTTTAAATATCATTCCCATGTCAGAGCAGCTCACAGAGCAGCTTGAACTATTCCATGGAAGCCATGGCAAAGCGATTTGCCCTCTGACATGGAGTAAACCACTGGCAGAGGAGAAATTGGAACCCAGGTCTCTCTCTCCTGGGCTGTGCTCTGAGGTGTAAGAACAGACAAAGGCCACCTGGCYATCCAAGTCAAAGCCTCAAGAAATCAAACACTGCACTTACAGATTCCAGCTGACAGATCCTACTTTCCTCTCCATATCCATCCTCAAGAAAATTCGTTGCTGTAGGAAGCACTGGGAATTGCCGTGACCAAATGTGCAATTACCAACAGAACGTGGATAAGAACACCTATTTGCACAGTCCTGTTATTTGTAACATTGCAGTTCTAATGTTCATTAACAGGAAGAAGCTTTTAGGCTGAGGAGTGTTCTGAAGGGCTAACTACCACAGCTGGGCTTGCATCCACCCCAGAGAACTTTAGTGATGATACTGTAGCGATCCCAGGAAAAAAAAAAAAAAAAAAATCATCCTGCATTGCTTTTGGGTTCATGCTTTGGAGGTTTTCTTTCAGCCACGTCCACTTCTCATCCAAAGAGTTTTCCAGTCTAAGCCCTGCCTCTACWCTCAGAAGTTTCTGACTCCCACAATTAAGCTCACAAGGGCTCAATGCATGACTAATTAGAAAGTACAGGAAAACAGAATGAGGAGTTGGGTGAACACCAACCCCAAAGACTACTAACACAGAGGCAGGCGTTCCTTGACAACTGAGCTGCTTCCAGCATGGGAACAAGCTTCCCTTAACTCAGTTAGTGAAGCTTCTCAAAGCTTGGAGGACGATTTCTCCTTGGCAGGCAGCCCCTCCATTCTTAYGCTTCCAGTAAGACCCACTTCCCATTCATCGCCTTAACACAGCAACAAGTTCAAAATGCATGCACTGAATGTGAGTTCCAAGCTAAACTGTGAGGCTATTCCAGTCTATCCAATGCCAACAGACACTGCTGCCTGGATTTCAGTCACTGCCACTTGCACACCAGAAGTTCAAAGCAACTCAAGCACATGCAAAGTTAGATTGCAAGTGGCTTTACTCAAATAACCAAGCCAACTGAAGCCAACCAGACGCTAAAATACTAATTTAAAATGTTTGAAAAAGGAAACAAAGAGCACATCATTCCTCCAGAACAAGTATTCCATAGCCTTATTTTGAAGAATGTTAATAACTGTATTTTTTCCTCCAAATTTCCCTTCACCACCACTCCAACATTTTTACTCTGCCCAGGGCCTTATTTTTCTCGCAGGAAATGTGTCCAGCAGTCCTCAGAGCCTCAGGAGCCCATCTCTGAGCCAGCCTGCAACCTAGATACCAAGGGCTCTATCAACACACAGGATTCCAAAAACTTCTCCACTTGGAGAAATACAGCTCTTATGACAAGTTAATTTTTAAAAAAATTGACAGCAGATTCCCAAACAGCTCAATCACTTATTGATCAGGGACAGGAAAAGACAACTGCAGAAACACAGTGTGTCCTGTACCAAGGAAAGCTGTCCACTGTACAGCACCACATCAGAATGTGCTGCAACGTGCCAACACCTSGAGCCACAGCAGGAGCTTTCAAGGCTCTGTCCCCGCTTATTTGACTGAGGAGAAGTCATTGGACAAAGCACACACCGGGAAGGTTGTAGGAGAGAAAGTGAGAATGTCCATCTAAGTGCCATTAATCGCAATCAGCTTCCCACTGTCCTTTCTCCTCCCCAGCCTCTCCAGGGCAGAGGCCAGAGAGCTTTGTTGTGATGGAGCTGCTGTTGCTTCACATAATTCAGGTGCTACCAAGATCCCCCGTTTCCATGGCAAAAGGGACATTGAACAACATAAAAACCTGTCTATACCAATCTGATTCAGTCCTTGAAAAGAAAGGCCTTGCACCCACATRGTTTAATATCACACTCAGAGCAAAAAGTCTCTTTCCGATCATGGACCATATTAAATCCAGAGAAGTCCAGCTATCTCAACCTGAAGCTGCAGCCAGCAGGAGGCTTCCCTCAAAAGTCCAACACTGTGGCTGGGGAAAGTTTTCCCACATAGATTTTTCCCATCAGAAAGTGAAGCTGTTAGACRTTTGCCAACAACAAAACTTCACCACTCAAGGGGAAATTAAAACATACAAAGATTGCTTCAACGTGTGATATTTGACTGAGCACTTGAATTTTGCTTTYGCAACATCCACTGGTGATTTTTTCCTCCCTTCAATTTTTTACTTCCCCCTCTGCTTTAAACTAGAATGGGAGATTCTCACATGGCAAAGTTCCATCAGACCAAAAAAAAAATTAAAAAATCTAGCAGCCTTCCCCAACATCATTGTTTAAATCAAGTTTATGTGATTTTACACAACACTTCATAGTCTTGGAGAGGGACACATTCCCTAGACAAAGCACCAGCTATCCAAACCACTGAGGCATGGGAAAACCATGCAAGAGTGTGAAATGGGGAAGGTCTTTGGTGAGCTGAGTCCACACTCATGTAAGCGTGGTAGCTCTGAACAAAGATCTGCAGGCTAATAGATATGTAAGACAAATGACATGTGGTTCTCATTGCAKCTCATGCTTTGGGAAGGGGGTACCTTGGAAGAGATCCAGCTGGGATAGGTTTATCCCATTACTCTCCTATAATTTTCTGCCGTTTCAAACCCTTTGACAGTTGCTGTAGTTTGACATCACACCCCCTGCAGCCCCAGGCCTGTCTGACAGCGCAGTGGACAAAGCCACCCCCCACCCGGGGGGAAATCCGCACCATATGTGAGGCAAGGGCTGTGCCCGCCCCTGCACCTCCGACACTTAAATCCACGGTGTCCATGCCTTTTCCCGATCCCCAGCCCAAAGCAGCGGCGCTAACAGAAGCCCTCCTCCACAGCAGACAAGGTATTAACAGAAGAAAAAAAAAGAAGTAGAGACAGGATGAACGAGCCCTGAATATTAAATCTCAAGTCCCCATTTAAGGGAATGACAGGGGGAAAAAAAGAAAAAAAAAAAAAAGAAAAAAAAAGTGAAATTCAAGAACAACTGGAATCAGGTTAAGCCACTCTCTTGCTTTATACAGTGCAGCTCATTCATCTGAACAGCTGTTTCACCTCTAGAGAAATACCCAGAGAAAACAGAGGGGAGGCAGAGAAGCCTAAATTGTTTGCTCTACTGAAGCAGTAAGATACAGTAAAGCAAACCTGATTTACATTAAATTTATAAGAAATTGGRTTGGGGTAGGGGTAGAGGAGAAGACTGGGAAATTTGGTTTTAAATGGCTACTTGGAAGTTGCAGCTCTTGAAGAGWGATCTGTAATTAAGGGCTTTCCTTTGTTGAGCTGAGCAAGTTTCTCCGCGCAGCCGAGGGCTATAACAGTTCCCTCTGCCGGCATCCCCGGTGTCCGGCTCTGGAGGTTTTCCTGCTCCGGCTGCGCCCTGCGCACGGACACGSAGGCCCGGCAAAGCCCCTTCCCCTCCCCGACGGGCTGGGCGCGGCAGGGGGACTTCGCGGGTGTCATTTTCCCAAGCTCAGCTTCTCCATTYCCCAGCCGCTCCCTGCCCAGGAGGCAGAATTGCTGCGGGCAGGTAGGGAGCGTCCCGCACCCCCCTGAGGATGCGGGCACCCCAGCCCGGCTCCCCGAGGGGCAGCAGCCCAGCATACCACTGCACCCTCCGAGGGACCGCTGCCCGCGCCCGTTTGTCCCCCGGTGCCACCGGCGAGGCGCAGCCTCCTCGCCCAGAGGTGRACCCGGTCTTACTCACCGGCGACTGGCGAAGCCGCTGCCCGGCGAGCCGGAGCTCTGCTCCGGGTAGTTGTGCTGCAGGGTTGATGCTGGGAATTGATAGAGGAAGCCAGTGCCCAGCGCGCATCCGTGCAGGCAGCAGCACCAGGACAAGAAAAGAGCGAGCTGCATTTTTGCAAGAACGGGGTTTTCCTACAGCCTCCCCCTTTCCCTCTTACGCTGCCCGGCAGGCGCGGGGCCACACCGTGCTCCCCCAGCCGGGGTCACGGCGGGATCCCACGGCACGGAGGTGCCCCCGGGAGTGGAGAGCACGGGGCAGAGGTGCCCGGGACACAGGGATGGCTGTTCCCGCTCCCAGAGGGAAGCCCCGTCCCTCGGCAAGCCGAGTCCGGGCGGCGGCGSCTGCTGCCCGCGCAGGGGGTCCGGGGCCAGCGCGACTCGATGCGCCCAGGGCGCACACTCAGCCCCGGATGCCTTTTCAAATTTGGCGAGGTTGGCCCGACTCCGTCAAAGGGGGCGTGGGGCTTCGGCGTTAACCCTTGCCAGCCCTCCCGGCAGACCCCGCTGCGAAGGGGCTCCGTCGGGGCAGGCACCGGCCCGGGGAGCCGCGGCCCCGCAGGGCACGGAAAGCGCGGGGCGCAGCGGGCAGCACCCCGCGGGCACGGAGAGAGCGGGGACCCCCGCTCCCCACCCCAAACCAAGGCAGCACCGACASACAGCAGAAACCTTTGTGTCTCCCCGATTAACCCAGAGACAGGTCGAAGGGAACCTACGGCTCAGCAGGGGAGCCCAAATACCCAAAAAGCTGATGCCTGCTGCAACGTTCACAGATAACTTCTGCTGCAGAGTTATACAGATAAAGTCGGAAATAAATCATTTTTAAGACATTTCATTCACAAGATAAGCAGTGAGAAAGTGATCTCTGCTTCACCACGTGCATCCTGCTCATTGTGGCATCGCTCAGATGGAGACATGGTTTAGTGGTGAACACGRCAGCGTGAGGTTGACTGTTGGRCTCAATGATCTTAGAGAACTTTTTCAACCTTCATGATTCTATGATTCACACAAAAGCACTCCCTTTGCTACCACTTTCCACAGACTCCCTTGTTTTATCACCCAGGATAGTCCGTAGCTTGAAGAATTACTCAGTGAACCCCAAGTAGGAGGAACATTTTTGCAGCTGTAGAAGGTTGTGGGTATTTTGCAATGGCAACACCCCAAGAAGGAAGGCAGCAGCAAGGCTCTCTCTGTACAGCAGTTGTCTGTATTTACAGCAGAGTCTGTGTTTAAAACCTAAATCCCCCATTTGGCAACAGTGTCACGACCCCATTTGCTGGCTCAGCATCCCSTTCCCAGCTCCAGAGGAACCTGGGCTGTTGCAGCTCACTGTCTGGGCAAGCAACTTCTCTGCACCAAACATCTCAATTTCTAAGATGACACAACTGTCTAAGATTTTTACCCTCAGGTTTTGCAAGCTCCCAAGACCCCCTCTGCACCTTCACTGTGAAGTCAGCTAAAGACAGCCCTGATGTACCACTCAAAGCAGGTGTCTTGCTGGGGTATTCTAGGGGCCCAGGGCCTCCCCATGGGKCTCTGCAAAGGCAGAGACCCTCTTCCCTCGAGGGCAATAAATTCCCTGCAAGATGCTGCAGCTGAAAAATGTTCCCTACAGGACTCTGGGAAAACCCAGTGTATCTAAAATCCAGTATCTGAAAACCTTGTATCTGGCATTTGCCCCCAGCCRCAGGTGAGCACCTACCCCTTCCCCCACAATGCCCACCTCCAGAGCCTGCAYGCAGAGATAAATAGCCCCTGGCTGGAGCCTGTAACCAGACAAGTTTAGACTGCAAATGAGGCACCAGGTTTTTAAACAGCCGCTGTCATTAATCACTGGAGCAAATCACACAAGGAGGCAGAGGTGATGCAGTTTGCACTGCAGCTCAGCACAGCCTCCCCRGGCTGCCCCTGGCTGTCCCACACCCAGAGCTGGGGCAGGCAATGGAGCAGCACTCTCTGAGCCCAAAGGGAGTGAGAAGTTCTGTTCTAGTAGCATTGGGCCACCAATGCTTGCTCAGAAACAAACACTGTTTATTTACAACAAGCCCTCGGTGCCTGAAGCCAGGACATGACAGGGCTCTCTGTCCCYAGCTCAGGGCAGCCTGAGCACCCTTCCCTTTACAATCTCCCCTCACCTCAGCAAGGGGAATATTATCCCTTCTCCCACATCCAAGAAAACACAGAGCTCCCAGATATTCACCCCAGGATATTCAGCTTTTCAGCCATGCTGCTCAATCAGTTCTCAGGAAAYCTCTGCTCAGCCCGACAGGGCAACAAAAGCAGACACTTACTTTMTGCTCTCCCCTCTCAGATGGGCTACAAACCACCCCAAATTCAGCCTTCTCCTAGGAAAGGAGTCAGGAACAGCAGCACACACCAAGCACTAAGCAGTTTTCTCAGACCTCTGCTCCCCTGKAATCTGGGTCCTCMTCCTCAGCTCCACAGGCACAAAGTGGGTGCAGCTGGACCTCCASCCCAGCAGTTTGTTGCAGCACCAGRCCGAGTGTTGAGGGCAGGSTTGAGCCTTTTGTCCCAAACACACCTCCCTCTCCTGACAGGCTCAGAGAGATCATTTATCAATATTTAACAACACTGAGCAGCATCAGTGGCTTTCTGACCCATTCTCCCTTACTGGGTTAGACCCTTCGGAAGCTCTTCATAGTCTTCAAGTCTTAGCTTCCTAAAAGCATTTTATTTTCAGCTACAAGGAAAATAAAGGCTGCTTCAGCCTTCACTGATTTTTCAAGACTCTAGGAGATATTAAACACAGGTGATTAGACAAGACATGATTCTGGCAAATTATTAGAGACATCTGTAGGAAGCTAATGTTCTTCCTATTTTGTGAACTGGGAGAGTGGAGACCAGAGGTCAAATGAYTTTGCTCAAGACTGCAAAGAGCTAAAGGCAGAGCCAGAAACAGAGCTCAGATCTCCAGACTCYCATTACTTCTGCCCCGTCCCTAATGCACACTTGCTTCTACTCTGTATGGCTGATTTAAAATGAAAATGAAGAATTGACTTTCAAGTTGTTTCTGGAAAGAGAGAAGAAAGGGTGATATTGTCTACTGTAAGGGGAGAATTAAAGATGACATTTCATTTTAGTCCTTTGGATATGTGTAATATAATCAAACACAATAGCAGTAATAAATGAATACTTTTTCTCCCCATGGTGCTTACGAGTGCAACATATTCTAACAATTTCTCRAAACTATGTTGATAAATTGGAGACACAGTGATGGAGGTAACAAAGACAGCCAACAAAAACATAATCCCTTCAATTTATCAGAGGGACTGGCTTTGAGAAGAAAACCCTTGAAATCTGAACAGTCCTATTCTTATAAACCAGACGTAATATATTTCAAAATAGAAAGCTACACTTCATGTGCCTGTGCATGTTAATTAAAGATTTGCCCAGGCAATCAGGGCTAAATAAATTATTTGGATGCATTTCACTAACTCAGTTCAAGATGGAAGAGGCAGATGGACATTGGAAAGGCACGATGCAGGGCAGCAGTGGAGGAAATAAAGAGGTRAGGGGCAAGGTTTTAATTTACCAATCCTGTGAACTTTGCTTTCATAAACAAGGAATCCTTAGAGGGCTGTCCTCCTGTACTCTGCTCATCTGTCATGCAAATGCCAGGCTCACAGTATCACATCAGAAGAATAATCCATTGGACATGGATTCTGTGGGCCCATGGAATGTTTTTCTGCTTTCCAGTCCATTGGGCAAACCTGAGACATAAGACATCAGAAACTGTTCTGAGAAAATATCTGTAATTTCTTATACATAATCATACACACCCTGCATGCAAGCCAACCAATAAATGAAGTGGGGGAAAACACAGACAAYAAAATGAATATTTGAAGTTTAGTCTGATTTTTGTTCAGTTGAAAGGGAAAAATGATATGGATGATKTGGAATGATACAGCAAAGAAGGGATTTGTGGCACAAAAAGGTAGAAAAGCACCATTGTACCTGTACATAGACTGGAGGTCCACAGCTGCAATGACATCTCAATTCTTCAGCACCACTTAGAGTATTACAAAAGTCAGTAATTAGCTGAAAAAAAAGAGTCACAATATTGTTAGAATCATGACAAACAAATTTTGAAAGGTCAGTCCTTAGGATATTTTGAGCGCAGTTTTCATGTGGAGACTAAGAAGAGACCAAAGCTTTGTTCTAGTTGATAAAACCTTGAGGAGCTTTAGAATTATGAAGTGTCCTTTTGAAGCTAGAATGAAGTCATTGATAAGATCATCTAAACCCAAAAATAATTTAGATAAACCCCTTCTAGYTTTCCAAAACGCCTAGATCATTGTGATACACAAAGCACTCAAGGATCCTTGGAAAATTGAAAGRGAAGGATAAGAGGTTAGTAACAGTAAGAGTTCAAGACCTCTATTATAAATTAAATTATAAGATTACTAAGCTTGTTATAACACTATTACTGGGGAGTCRAACCAAACCTGAGCCAGACTGAAAATTTTATGGGACTGTGGGGGGGTTTTCTTTTAAGCTAGGAGATAGCTGATGTGTAGACATTACTTGCATTTGACCAGGAATAAATAAACCACAACTCAAAATGGAATAGAATTTAAAAATGGGTGACTTACACAGGCAGTTCAGCATATACCAAACATGATAGAGTGTTACTGTGTGAAGCATGACAAATGATTCAGAAGTCATGAATGGCAAAATTCATTGACCATAGATGAGAACTTCCCCTGAGTGAAGCACTTGTGTGGGTATTATAAAGTAATACAGGGGATAAAATAACTCAGATTGAAGSATAATTCAGCAGATGGAAAATGTGATGACTCAACTGATCAGCAAGACAATGCCTGTGTCCGGTGGAATTATACAAACTCTGAGGCGTTTCTGTGTCCTGGGGAAAATTATTTATGTCACCTTTGATGTCAGGCACTGACCTGCACAGGCACAGGGAGTTTATGGACATGCCCTCGATCCATCAAGAATGCAGCAGAGCAGGGGTGCACACAGGTGTGATAAAGCCAAGAAGTAGCACCAAGCCTGCTGCACTCAGACCTGTCAGAGTGGAAACACACTCAGAAGTAGCCAGGAAGGACTGTAAGAGTTACCTAATCCCTCTCCCTTCTCCAGCTGGAAGGCAAGATCTATCATACATTGATTATTGTTGGCCCTAATTTTTCTGCCTTGTTTGGAAAGACCTCAAGATAGAAAGTCTCCACGGTCATCTGAAAACATATTTCAATGTGTGTGCTCTGTTCTGGTAGTTTTTCTCAGCATCCAACCTCATTCTGGTCTTCTGCAATTTAAGCCTTAATGGCTCAGATTTTTCACTATGGATGTAGAAAACTATTCCTTCTTTCTTTGAAGAGACTTTTAATTCCTCAACATACTTTAAAAAAATGCTTTAACACCTTTCCTTGCCTTCTAGAAGCAA